TATACCTTTGGTAGCAAATGTCTGTAAAGAGTTAGTTTTTTGTGGTTGTTTAAAATGTCAAGGTTTTTGGCCTCAGCTGTTCAGATTCTTCCCCCCTGCCCCAAGTCTCCCTTTCCACACCAGGAAAATTTATCAGCGAAGAAGAATGTTTCCTTTTGGATCAGCATAGGTATCGGTAACATTTCACATTTAATGCATTATTTGCTTCTGCCATAATATACAGGATGATGTCCCAAGGAAGCCAAGGTGATGGTCTTTCAGAATAAAATGATGTATCTAATGATTTGGAAAACAAGATGAGAGCTATGAACTAAGAAATGCAGTCAGAGTTATTTTGTTACCAATTTGGAATAGTAAAATGTTGAGTGAAGTACTTAGAGGTTTAAAATACCGAAAATAAACAGGGAGGTAGGCAACCTCAATCCAGTAGTTGGATTTTTTTTCTTTCTCTCCTTTTTGAGTAGTTGTTACCTTTAAAAGAGCATCTTACTGTTTCCAGGAAGTAGACAGCCTTTCCTTTACCATCTACAGGTAGAAAATGCAAATACAAGATGGGCTATTAAATGCACTATAAAATATTGGCGTATGCTGGCCATGGACACTGGAGACTATATATAGTCTTTGATTCTCTTCATGTTGCTCTTTGAGATTCTGTGTTCTTTAGCCGAACTGAGGATGAACACATGGTTTAAATGCAAACAAGTAGATTCTCACTAAGTGATGCATTTTGACATGTAAGGTGCAAACATGTTGGATGAAATGATAATTTTAGGTTTTTGTTTAGTGATGTGGAAGGGAGAAATTTAAGCTGCTTTTACAAGTGGTATGTTAATTGGAACTATAGATAAATGAGGTGGAAGATGAAAGAAGGGCAGGATGCGTCTTCTATGCACACTATATGCAATGAAGTAATCAGCTAACGTGGTTACGCCAGGAGTTAAGAAATCTCGTGATAACTCTTCAGTCTTATGAAAATAATCTCAGAACTCTCAGTGAAAGAAGCTTTTAATTATTGTGATAGTTGTGCAGTTACCTTAACCAATAAAAAAGAAAATGTTTTGGATGTTTGCTGTATTGCTTATAAAAACGTAGCTGTAAGCTGCTAGAGAAATGAACTCAGGAAACATGCCAAGTGTGATTTTAAAAAAAAAGATTGGTACAGGGAATATCAAGTTTTTGGGGCTACCAATCTAGAAAACCTCATGAGAAGAAGCGATGAAGTAAGAAACTTTTATTTTGGAAAACATGATTTAATGAAATGGGAAATCAGGCTGTGTGTGGTTTCTGCTTGTGGTGAAAAATGCATCTTATGTTGCAGTGTCTCTGTTTTCTTCTGCGTTAGTAAGGTTTCATTTTGTCTGTAACGCTGAACAAAACTCGGAGGAATAGTTTCATGGAAAATAACAGAATTTCTTCTGGTCTTAAAGCAAAGTTGAAGTCTCAGAAATGGTCACAAGAGAAATTGATTTGGAAATGTTAAAAAAACCATCATTTCAGTTTACTGCACTAAATCAAAACAGTTTGTTTTAAACAAAATTTATAGTTGGAAGATGACTGGATGTGGTGCCTGCCATCTATCTGAGGAAGATTTGTTAGGGTTTCCATGTGTGTTCATCATCACTTCTTGCATACTAACTCTTGCAGTTTTTAGCAACTTGAAGTGCTTCTTGCCACCTCTTTCGGAATGTTACATCTTTCTCTTTTTTTGTTCTGCTGTTAGTGTTTTAAGTATAAAAGGTGTGGGAATAGGAGGTACTGAACGTGAGATTTGCCCCGCAGAGTTGTCCATAATTGATTCTTATCCTGAGAAGTTAGAAGCAAAAAAGTTTAAGTCTCTAAAGAATGAGTATTTCTATCGTTGATGAGGGTTTGGAAGACCTGGATAACAGTGGCTGCTAGAAATGTTCTACTTATGCTTAGCTATGTGCACATGTCCCATATTAACAGGAGTATTCCTAACCACCTATTCTTCTCTTCTATAGACTCTGAATTCAGTATTAATGGTAGAAAGGAGTCCTGAAAATTTTCCTTTAGGCCCAAAATACAGTAACTCTCTTCTGAAACAGAATAAGAGGAAGAAACCAAATACAAGGCTATTTCAAAATAATAGCATTTTTCTCTAGAACGCAGTGGACTGACTTCATGCTTACCTGCCTGATTTCCTTCTGGGTTTGGTAACTGTGATGTTGATGCTTTCTACGGCTTTTTGTGCTTCTGATGCTTACATGGGATCCCTTATGTTTCTGGTAGGAAACATAAAGAGCAGGTAGACTGATAGTAGTTTCCCTTTATAAGGATATAAGAAAAGTGGAGACATTATCTGACTATGAGAGACCTAGAAAGTGGTAGGACAGCAGTGAATCTCGTTAGAAACTGTAGTTGTGAAAGACGTTGGGGAGAAGGCTTAAAAGAATCAGCAAGGTGTATGCTGGAGAATATCTTGTTTGGTAGAAGATCAGAAAGCAAAAATAAATAAAAAAAAAATCCCAATTTCTCTGTCAGCTGCTGTTCTCTGTTGTTGAGTAATAAAAGGCAGGAACCGGGAAGCTGCTTGTTTCTGTTTTTTATTAGACGCTTTAGATACCCTGGTGATGAGCGTGTTATAAATATAAATGTCCACTGCAGCTAGGACATGAAACAGACTGGAACCTGGTAACCTTTAAAAAGGGATAACGTAAGGTTTAAAATTATGCTGATGTCTGGAGCTTCCTACAGAGTCCTTGAGCAGTGTCGTGAAGCACATGTCAATAGCAAAAAAAGCAAAACCAAAAACACTGCGCAGCTGAAAGCTTACCCTGTTTTTAGACTGAGTTTCTCATGAAATGCCGAAGTTAGAAACGAGGCGTCTTATCTTTCAGTTTTATAGACCTGGTATATTATGGGAGCTTCCCACTGTAGCAATAGTATGTTTGGCTTTTTTTGTGTGTGCTTGTATTGTAACATGGTGCTAGCCACACTTAGCTATGGACTTTCTTCAAAACAGCGCTAAATTATTATCCTGTACATGTGTTGTGCTTGTAAAGTAATACAGTCATGAAGTCATGCCTTTCGAAACACGTTTTGAGTGTTTTGAGAGGAAGGAACCAGGACAGGAGTCGGGATGTAATGGGGTTGTAGAGTCTGGTACCTCACAGCATGATAGGCCCCAGTTTAACTCGCCAGAGCAAATATTGTTTCAGGACAAGAAAGAGCAGCCTTGAAGCATGCTGATGTCAGAAAGAAAATAATCCTTAATGTTATTTGTGTTGAGTTTTCAGTCACTTATTTTCCTTCTCTTTCCTTCTCAGCTGTGTCATGATAACTATATCTTTTCTTTGATCTCATCTAAATCAAGGCTATTCTCCTTGAGGTGAGTATTCTCCGAAGGAATATTTCTCCTCAGGAAATATTCATTAACTCTTTTTAAAGACTGCATTATTTAGCATACATGTGTTTGATTGTAGGGAATGTGTGTGAAAGGTAAGACTTCGAGCTCAGCCCAGCAAGGTGCTTTTTTTCAGTATAACTACCAGATTTAGGCCCTATAACATAAGTAGTGAGGTGAAGATATTCTGTTCAGATACTGAAGGACAGATCTTAAAGTAAACAACTCTCAGTAGGGGAAGCATCCAAAAGGGCAAAAGTAAAGGATAAGATTTCGGATTTTTTTTCCCACACTATAGAGTTTAAATTATTTGGCAATATCAACGCGCAAATGTTAGTAACACAACCAAATTAATACTGGGACAGACGCAGTAAGCTTTGGGTCCTTCTGGTAACTTGGTCATTGATGTGTAAGTTTAATTTCAAAATATGCAAGAGTTTGACATATTTTAATGAAGAGAAAGAAGTTATGTGTCAGGGGCTGTAGATGGGAAGTACACGTAAAGAAGCAGATTAGCGGCGCTATCTCGTTTTTCTTCTTTCCGATTCTCTTCTGATTAGAAGATTCTGTTAATATACAATGTCTTCAGTAGATAGTTGCAGGACTGTCCTGTGGACAAATTGGCAGGTGCCCAAAACAGCATTTCCCTGCAGTTCCACAGCACCTTCTAGCTGAGTGGCATGATTAATATGTGACTGTACAGAGCACAGAGAAGCATCTAGTTTGTTTGGGGTAATGTAATCATTTGGGCCAACTCTAAATATTTGCAATTTTGTTTGGTTTTGGCTGCTGCAGGACTCCACTTTTTTCCAAGCAGCGTTGTGTAGCAGTTTTCATTCATAGAAGAGGTGAAAGCATTAAGCCGTTTCAAAACCAGCTCACCTCTATGGACAGGGTTATAGTTTTGTAATGAGAAAGCACAGTAGAGTTGTGTACTTCCTAGGAAAGGTGAATTTGAATCATTAGCTAATATATATTACCATAGTGAACCACTTCCCAAACCTACTGCTTAAATAATTCTAATCTAAAATACTTTTTTCCCATGAAATGTGAAGTGCAGAATGTTTGTTTTGGTTTACTGCTGATGCTCCTGTTCTGTTACAGCCTGGCCCCTCTGTGGTGTTAATATATTGCTATGATACGTTTGGTTCTCTGTTGTGTTAGCCTTTTCTAGTAGTCTGTCTGTCTGGGAGGATTGCTGTGAGTGGAATTTCAGAGTGTTCACTTGCAATCGAAATGCCCAGCTTATTCCTCCATGGCAAAAGTACTCGTTTATCAACAAGGTTGCAAACAGAATGTGATAACCAATCAGATCCTTTTGTGTACATCCATCAGTCTCGTTAGATACCAGGGTAGACTGTCAGCATCTCATGGTTGATGGTTTCTAATTGGTTAAACGGCTCAAGACACACTTGAGGTTTTGTATGTGAAGGTTGCACTGTTTCTCCATTAGCAAGCAGCTTGCTTAACGTGTCACCATGCTTTTTGTGCAACACTGGGTTTCGTCTCTTGCTGAGAATGACCTATCAACAAATGTTGTTGTGTTATTGTTGTTATCGTTATATAGCTAGCCGCATGTATATATTTCTGAAAGGTCTTGCCATTTATTATGTAACTGCCTAGTTTCAGCTCAAGAATGAGCGCAAGTGAGTTATCGTCTCCTCTGTTACTGTCTAATCCACTTCATCTTTCTTAATCTAAAATTTGCCAATTTTCCATGTCGTAGTAGGGAAGACCAGTTGTGGGTTGGGAGTTTTTTGTCTGGTTTTCTAAAGAACATGAGGCTTGTGCAATAATGCTGTTAATTCAGCTCAGTAGTGACTTCTGAATCTGTTAACTGTTTCAACAAAATTTCACAGCACATTGAGAAATTTTGAAGACATGAAGTTCCTAAGAGTTATCTGAAAGATGTAACTCTTAGGAGCTTAATCCTTCATTGGTCTTTTGGTAAGAGATGACCCTGTTAGTTTTCCTGCTGAGGGAAAGTTGCCAGGGTGAGCTCAACTCATATTCAACATCAGAGAGTCTGTATGGGAACGTCACCTCAAGACAAGGGTCCAAAGAAAATTGGCGTTCGTTGGTTCTACTGCTAACTTTATCTTAGAGCTAATGTAGTTATTAAATAGTGATGTGGGCATGAGAGAAAAGACTATTGTAGAATAGCATTTTAAAAGTTACCTTGATAATGAGTAGAGGGGAACGAAAGGGGAAGGTGAGTCTCTTTATCTGCTCTGTGGAGCTATTTTTATGACTCTCTTTGCCCTTCCCCCTTTTCTCTTCCTACGCCACTCCACCTGCTCTGCTCTCTTTCTTCCTTTTGATTCCAGCTGGCAATTTCAACAAGCCAAGAAAGTTGCTGGGTCAGCAGTTCTGTGCATCTGCCAGGAAATAAATAAATAGTGGGAAGAGAAACGGAAGGGATGTGTTCTTGGTCTTTTTTGTTAGCTTTACTTAAGGGCTTTTTTTAATTGTGCGCATTGCAAAAATGTATTACTGTGACACAATTTCCTTCTAACTAGAGCTGAATCCTGTTGCCTCCTCAGTCTCCTTAATTTTCTGGCATTAAGAAAAATACAAGTCCTTCAACATTCATGCGTTGGAACTGGGTTCCTTTTTCTACCTCTGTTAAATCTGTCATTGCCATTCGGAGGTGTGGTGTAGCCCCTCAAAGCTTGCCAGACGTTATTTTTTGTTTGCGTACATCCCTTACTCATGGAAAGCTTTGTAAGGTGTTTTGTTCGGCACGCCTGCAGGTAACTGCAGCCTGAATTTGATCTCTGGCTGGCTTTGAGAGTTCGTCACTGTGTCCCACACATTCTTCCAAACTGTCTTTTTGGGAAGCTGAAGATTACATGCCAGCACTCTTTTTGCTCCTTTTGGGCCAGTACCTTTTCCTAGGGTTTCCATCTTTGTGGCTGCCATCTGTCTGAGAGTTATAGAGAACGTGCCTGTTGATTTCATTTGTTCATTTTTTAAAATTAGATTTGGACTCAGGGTTCCCTGTTAACCCAGGTGATGTCTTGCCTTATGTCTGGGATCCAGATGAACAGGTGGATTATGCTTGGCACAACATACAGGTGAGCCCCTTACACACGTGAGGTGCCAGCTCAGCATGGGGCCACTAATGGCTGCTTTTAATTTAAATAGCCCACCTTCATTGTCAGTTGCTCATAATTTTCTCCAGTTTCCCTTTTCAGGCTGAAAATAGACTTTTATTTTCCTTTTTAAAGAGAGAGTTGGCGAAGTCTAATTCCTCTTTTTTGTGAAAGGAGACGTTGATTTCTCCGCTCATTTTGAACAGGTTTAGTTCATTTAGTTCAGCTTCTATGCTGATTTCTCTTCAGAAAGTTCATTGCGTGTGGTGCAAGAACCATCTTTACGGCAGTGTCTGTCCTGTGGAACAGACTGTCTGCCTGATTCTCCTTCATAGTGAGACTATATCTGAAAATGAGATGTCTGTCTTGCCATGAATATAGCCTCTTATTTATCTCCCTATCTATTACATTCTTACTTGAAGAGGATCATGTCAGGCTTTTATTTATGTATAGTTATCTTTTTGTAAAATTCAGTGTTCTTATTACAAGTAAAAACGAGTAATAGACTTTTCGTACTGTGTTCCTCTCTCTGCTCTCTATTTTTCTCAAGTTGGAAGGAAAGTCTGCCTCACTTTCACATTTTCATTACAGAAATGTTTAGGTGTAAGCTTTGCAGGGAGCTATTTGCTTTAGAAAAAAAACCCACAACTATTTCCAGTGGAGTTTAAAAATAACAAACAGCACCATTCATCTCCTTGCCACAAGCATTTCTGCTGTTCTTAAGTAATTATTTTAATAAAAATTATGTAACAACAATTATTTAACAGAATCTAATTTTGAGACAAATTTTGCTTGACAGTGTCCCTTTTGACCTGTAAATGTGTTTGAGGGCTTAAACTGCGCAAAATATTTGTGACGTGATTTGTTTGAAAGACTGCTTGGAAGGTAAAATAATTTTTGAATTACTTTGTTAACATTCTTGCATCGTGCTTTGAGGATTATTGCTCTATATAAACTTTTGCTTAAGATGAGCTGGTTTTTAATGAAAAATCAGAGCCATATATTAGTAAAAGGCACTGAAAGGTACATGTTGTTAATCTCTTTGAAAACTGTGAAATCCTACAGGCTTTTTTAGATCAGTTTCCCAATCTAGAGAGCACTTTGTGTATGTTCTGAAAATACCAGTGCTGAGCTGCTGTTGAGATGTAGGAAACAGTCAAGGAGCCGTACTTTTATCCCTTTAGCCTTACTCAGTTATGTCTGAACAATTCTCCACTCTTTTCTTCACTGCTAACTCTATTCAATTCAGATAGAGGTGGAGAGGACCACCGATCTGCAGGGATCAGGAATATTTTTAATATACCAAAGGAAAAAAAAAAAGAAGATTTGATTAATGATAAGAGAGACTGCACAGGGAGACAGGACTTTATCACTTTTATTTTTCAAAGCATTAACGGGGAGTAAAAGAAAGGATGTTCAGGAAAAGCACGTCTGAGAGTTTGTAGATGTTAGATGCGACCTAAAATTAATGTTTTGCAGACTGAGTAGAAACCAAAGCTGTTGGGCTTTGGAAATTTTTAGAGAGAGGGTTTGGCACAGTGTGATCGTGTCAGCCTCATCTACATAGGAGGTTGGACTGAAAATAGGCGTGGAAGAGACCTCATGTGGTCGCTAGGCCCCCATCTTCCTTTCCACACCAACAGGTGACCCCATTTCTGTCGCATTCCTGAACAGTTTCTTGACTGCTGCTGATGAAAACTCTGTAATTCTGTAGGCAATGTATTCTAGTGCTGCCTGATTTTTACTGTTGGGAATTTTTTTTTTTTAAAGGCCTGTCTATGCTGCTTTAATTCCTGCCTAAAGACAGTATGAAGAACAGATTATTCCTCTTCCTTTTAAGCTGACCGTTATCATATCTCCGTTAAACGTTACTCCCTCAGTGACGTTGTGAACTGACATTTCACATTATGCTTGCTTGGCCGTTTTTGCAGCAAATCTTGATAAAATAAAATTTTAAAAAGAGAATTTTTCTTCCAAGAAACTTGAAGTAGCACTTGCTAATGAGGCATGGTACAAATAGTCACATTGGACATAAGAATAAAAATGTATGGGCATGATTCCTCAGAGAATGAGGAATTTCATTTTGGCTGTGTCTGTAATGTCCTTGTGATACACTCTGAGAAGACATCCCAGTTCCCCTGGCTGCCAGGGTGGTGTGGCCCCACCTGTCCCTGTGAGACTTGGGCACATCCCAGGCTGAAGACCTGTCCCGCAAGTCTCTGTAGCTACGTGCTGATCCACGGGGTCCCCGCGTGACACCACGTACAGTGTTTGCCTGCTGCAGGCTGGCTGAAGTGACACCACCCATTCTCACCCTGCGCCTTGAGGTAGGCTGCGCTGATTTATCTGGTTGAATTTCAAGTGAGGTGTCTTCAGCTGTGCTTGAACCTCTCCTCATAGAGGCACTGTGCCTTGTGGGACGCAAGGTGTGATCCTACAGTTGAAAACCACCCTCTAAGTGTTGAGCAGGGCCAAATACGGTGTTGCAGGTCTCTGGGCTCATTTGGCTCCATGTGGCCCCTCTGTGTGTCTGCAGCACTCCCAACATAGTTTTAAAGGCCCCATAAGCGTTGTAATATGTGCGGTGCCAGGAGAGGCCTGCCTTACAGACTGCACGCCACACGCTGCCCTGTAAAGCAGGTCCCAGGCAGATACAGTCGCCAGCCCCTGGGGGGCTTCTGCTTGCATCTCTGCTCAATCAGGGATCCCAGGAGCAAGCCTTCAAGCCGTGTTGACTGGATTCTTGAAGGAAGCCAAAACGCACCTACGGACGATGAGATTTTTACCATCTAGGCAGTGAATTGCGTCCAAAGTTATTTCCGGCCTGGAGAGCAATCCCCTTGATCAAGAGGGCTAATTCGGGCATTCATAGAAACGTTTTATTGTCCACCTAGGCAGACGTGAAGTTACAGCTCCTAAAGATATATTAAAACAGTGGATTATATTGCTTGGTGTTTTGCCTTTTTTTTTTTTTTTAATTTTTTTAATTCTGATTTTAAAAACGTCATTCCTACTGCCAGTGGCGTTGTCTTGTAGTCACATACACTCCTTGCCCCTGAAACCAACCTTGGTTGCAGTCCAGAAAAAGGGGTCTGTTAGAGAAGCCGGTTTTCAAAGGGCCCTGGTTGAAAATATTGGCACAACTCTGTAAAACTAGCCCCTCTGTAATGGAATGAGTTCATAGTAAACTTGTTAAATAGGAAATGTTTCTAATTCATTGCTTGAAAAATGAGCCATACAATTGGGCCAAGATAAGGTGGGTGATTGCCATTTTACATGTCTGTCAGGACTTACAGAAGGCAAGCAATTGCTGCAAAAATAATTTTATTACAGAATGCTTAATAAGGAGACTTAAAAAATGTTAAACGCTTAAATTCTTTGTTTTGTTATCTTCCATTTTGTTCCTCTGGGACTTGTATTCTCAAAGTTTGATTTGACTCCAACTTGTTCAACGTGCTTTTTTTATACACTGTGTTCTCATCTGTGGGTCATGTTGTAGGTTTAGACCTAAATGGAATGTAAATATCTTACACAGGAATCCAGATCTAATCCTTTCCAAAGGTTTTGTAGAAAATCAATTTCCTGTGAGGAGTGTCAAGACTTTTAAGGTTAATGCTCTGCGGAAATGCATCCAAATTTTTTGCAAGCTGGAAAAAAATCTGGTGGTGTTATGCAAGGCAAAGTAATTGGTTTTGTGCATTTGATGTGCAGTAAGTACAGTTGTGTACCTCATTACAGTTTTTTTTTTTAATTATGAGAAAACAGTATTTGCATCTTTCGATTTGAATTAATTCCTCTCGATGCTGAAGCGTGGAGCCAAGGTTTTCAGTGTCCTGAGAGTTATTGTTACGAAAGCAATTCTGAGGGATTGAAAAACAGTTATGGCCCAGTGTGCGGTGCCCAAATACTGTGAGATTAAAAAGAAAGGTATAAAATACAAATATCTTCCATTATATACTGTGGTTTATTTGGATGGTTTTTGCAAGACTTGTTCATTTTACGTTTTGACATGACTTGGAACTTTTGTCACAGTTTTTCCATGATCTTTTGCTTTTTCAGGGAAAAAAAGGTAGCACAGTTTGTCTTTGGCAGAATTAAAATCATCCTGGTTTTGTGCATACCTCAAAAAGAAAATGTCAATCTAAGCATACCGTTTTTTAAAGTTGCACCTTTCCTGTCAGCAATTAATAACTCTTTTTGTGCTAGTAAGGGATGTGCAGTGCAGAGATTCTGAATCATTTGTGACATCAACCTAACCATAGTTTTGAAATTGTAGTGCGTTTATTCTTTTTTTCAGTGGTACTTGCGCATAGATTCTGAGAATAGGCTTTTTTTCAGATATGATAAGAATTTGTACTGTCAGAAACTTGTCAGGAAATTAAGAGCTTTACTTTTCTTCTTGTGTAGTACTCAGTGTTTTATAGTTAATTTATTGGTTCTAGTCAAAGCAAAGAAGTTGTTTTGGTTCAGAATTAACATAATAGCATAGATTATTTCAAAAATCTTTTTATCTTGATGTAGCATTTTCTATAAAATCTAAGGGGGTCTCTTGGATAGAAATTATTGCAAAATATGTATATTCTCTTTTGAAAAGAAAAAGTACTTGTGGGAAAATGTGTTGAGCTTGTTTGTGTTCAAAAAAATTGTTGTTTATCTAGAGGACAAAAATGCTTTGTTCCTGTGTTGCAAAACATTTTTCATAGAAAGTTAGTGCAACTAGGAAGTTGGGAGAGGAAGAAATACAAAACTCTCTTTTGCAATACTCAGCGGTGAGCTTGCAACTGTGATGAGAAGTATGTCACAGATGGATGTACTTTTTTGGTTACTTTTGCAGTTGGGGTCATATAACAGCGCCCATGTAAAACTAGCGTTTCTTCCCTGCCCCTTTCCAAGCCCCACCAGCTTATAAGGCAAAAAGAAATGTCTTACCTCAACTCTTGGTCCCCTGTTCCCTCCCTTCCACCTACTCCAAAAAATACTGA